GCCAACCTTTTGGTTAGCAGCTGAGCGTTTAACCATTGCTCCACTGGGTTCAAGTCTCAGCCTTTGATGACTATCCTTGGGTAAGATGCCATCCTCTTGGGGCCTCAGTTTTCTCTGCTGTAAAGTAGGGATTCCATCAACCAATCTTTTGGAGCACCTTGTGGGGAGCAGGAGCTGGTGGGGGGGCTGTTGTATTTCCCCATGAGTCTCTGACATCAGTGGTGACTAGTCAGCATCTCAGGGGTCTGCAGCATGGCAAAGAGAACAGGACCTTTGACCTTGGGGACCAGTCCTGGATTGACCATGAGCCAGCCAGGGTGTTGAGAACTTGATAGATGCAAGCTCATTTAATGCTCACAGCTACCCCATGAGGGAGGTGCTATGATCATCCCCAGATGGGGAAACTAGGGCACAGAGAGGTTGAGTAACCTGCCCAGGGTTGCCAAGCTAGTAAAGAGCAGAGATGGGTGTGGAGCCACAATGCTGACCACTGAGATACCCTGGGCTGGCAGGTTTCCCAGGGAACCTGTTCTGGGCTTCCATCCCCATGGTGATACCTGGGTGAATGTCTGCCCCTCTTAGACCCCCAACTCTCACCACTGTCAGACAAGGTCACCCCCTGTCCTGCCTCTCTGGACGAGGGAGGAGATTAGACAAGGTGGTGGGTGGAATGTAGGACCCCGGGAGACCACTGGGCTTGCCCTGTGGCAGATATTGAGAGGACTCCAGTCCAGGGAACAGCTGAGGCTCAGCCCCTCTTCCCCACCCCTGCCCTGCACAGTAAGGGTGGGGCTGCTCACCAAGGAATGCCTCTGGTGAGGGCCTGCCATTGAAAATAGGGAGGGGATAGTGTGTCCAAGGTGGGAACTGGACATTTCTGGAAGCGGCCCACCTCTTCTACTTCAGGCTGGGCCAGTCCCTCTGGAACCTACTTGGTGACTCAAGGCGGGTAGGAGGCACTGAGCCAGGTGCTCGGGAACAGACACCCTCTCTGGCCTGCGTCCTCTCCATGACCCTGGGTCCCCACTCGCCCTCCCCAGCAGTCAGGGACGTCAGCACTGGGGTCAGAGCTCCTGGTCCTTTGGGAAGCCGGCAGGTAACTCTGACTTAACCACCACTCTCAGGGACTCCTCTGTGTTTAACCCTTTCCTCGATGCCTGCAGCACCTCCCCCGTTTCAGGTTTAGGGCTTGTGGCACTGTGACACTTAGAGCGCTGTTCCACTCCCTCGGCTGCAAAATGAAGAAAGAAAAATCCCTCTGGGGACTTCTGGTTATCCACAGGCCGACCTCTCAGGCTGGGGGATGATCCAAACCAGTAAACCAGTTGTCGTTGAGTGATTTGGACTCATGGTGACCTCGTGTGCGTCAGAGTACAGCTGTGCTCCATATGGTTTTTAGTGGCTGATTTTTGGAAGTAGATTGCCAAGGCTTTCTTCTGAGGCACCTCTAGGTGGGCTCAAACTTCCAACCTTTTGGTTAGCAGCTGAGCATGTTAACTGTTTGCATCACCCAAGGACTCTTTAAGCTGGTTCAGGCCAACCATAAAGCCTGCCAAATGTCCACAGTAAGAAACTGAGGCATGAGATGGAAAGGGACTTGCCAAAGGGGAAGGAAACCCCATGTATAAGTCTTACTTTGAGTTAGCTCATACTGTACCAACCCCATTTCATGGATGAAGAAACTGAAGCTTGGAGAGGTTAGCGATCTCACTCAGGGTCATTCCATAAATGGTGTAGCTGGTATTTGAATCCACTGTGTCTGACTCCAGATCGCTTCCCACCTTCCATGGAGTTTAGCTCATTCAGACTCTTACACACCTTAATTCAGGTAGCCTTTTTTGGAAGGTTGTCTGACTCCTCCTCAGGCCCTTATGATAGAGAGCTCACTACCACACAAGACAGTCCATTTCCCTATTGGATGGGTCCGGGAAGTAGAACCTTGAAAAGGAGGGAAGAGAGACGTTGT